GTCAAATATGCAACCTAAAACTAACTTCGCTGCGGTATTTACATGAAATAACATTTGTTGCCTCGGCTGATTTTTTTCATGCACACGTGCATCTAAATACATTTTACAATTCGCACACATCTACTTTTAGTTGCAAATGCAAGTGAAACGGTCGCAATATCAAGCCCTGTATGATATCAGGAAAAATGTAATCGAGTTATTACTGATGGTGCAGTGAATTCTGGACTCTTCTTTTTGTTCAAGTTACTGAGATGCTTTATTGTCCCATACTATTAGAATGCATTTAACTTAACAGGTCTTTTTTACCCCTAATTTCCACCGCATCCGGAATGGCTATGAAAAGGCCGTATCCGCTGATCGTAGCTGATCATAACCATTCAAGTTAATTAGTTCATTTCCACTGGCTTCTTTCCGTTCCACTGCAGATCGGCGGACTCTGCAGCTGATTGCAACAGTTTGTTTTTTTTTCAGACTCCGGAGCATGCCGGAAAACTTCAGCACAGATTAACCTGTGCTGGAAAGGAAGTCAGGCACAGACACAAAATAAAACATTCAGCTTCCTTTCAAAATAAAATAATCTGTGTTTCAGGCGGGTCGTATTTCACACCATGCAGATGGGCAGGGACGAACAAGTAAAAGGTTTATAGACAGCATTTCACCCCAATGACACCATGAGGATGCAGATTTTATAATATATTATAATATATTTATAGAAGTAGATTTTCTCCTCTGGAAGGACACAATCTGCTGCTTATATGGTTAGCCTATGTGGCTAAAGACAACTTGTTATCGCATGATTGTGCGCGTTGAAGGTCTTTGCTCAAGCGCTATATGAAATCTGATGCATTAATTAATTAATTAAATTGTTTAAGGCAATTGGTTTCCTCATTTGAATTGAGTAGCCCTAAGTTGTTTTAACTAGAATCTAATAATTTGCTGCAGTGGAAGACTGAGTACATGCAACTCAAAGGTTGCATTTGTATGGACTAGATTAGTTTAAGTTACGAGTGTAGAAAAATGATTCATATGAGTATAAAATAACAAAGCATTCAATTTTTATTATTGAATAAAAATTTAATTTAATTGAACTTAATTGAATTAAAAACATGAACTTGAACATGAACCACAGCTTTAAATATTTAAGTTACTTGACATTAAATGAAGTGTTTTTTCATACTTAAAAATAGGAGTTAAAAAACCTTTATGATTTGAGGCAATCGGTTTCCTCAAATCATTAGAGTTGAACTTACTCATCAGGTTTTACAGTGTACATTTCTTTATATGTGTTAAGTATCAAATCATTTATTATGAACCAAACGTTTAATAAGATTAATCATAGTGAGTGAGTATCAGATTGGACTCCTTTACTAGCCAAAATTATAAATTGGATCAAATAATCAGGGTCTTGAAGGTCGCCTCTAAAGGAGCTGCTGAAGGAAACCAGCGATCCCCCCTCTCTCACACACACACACACACACACACACACACACACACACACACACACACACACACACACACACCCAGTGACACTCTCAGTTTGAAGGAGATAACCCTATATTGCCAAATGATTCAAACTTGATACAAGCATTTCTGAGACCAATTACATCACCATATGGTAAAAACTTTACCCAAAACTGAGAAAAATTTCAATTTTGAAGATTTTGAAGAGAGATTTTCTTCAAAATTTTTACTAATATTTTAACACGAGCACTTAACCTGTTGAAGCAAGTTATGCTGGATCACAGGCTCCAGCATCATGAAAGCATGGCAAACCTGAAGAAACCCAGGATGGCACCCCCCCAGGTGTGACCAGGTCAACTGCCCTTCTAATGACCTTCTGGAGACCCAGCTGTGAACAACTCTCAGGTGGCCACCCACCCCTTTTAGAGCTGGCCAACAGACCAACATGACCAACAGAGGCTATAAATTTCCAACTTTGACCCCAGCCACTTTAGAACTGAAGAAACCTCTTGAAAGCTAGGAAAAATGTCTTCAAGAACCTCAGACAAGTCCAGCTGCCCTTTCAGCCAAGAATTGGATAACCATACTGGATGAATGAGAACCTACACAAAACCAGAAGATGGTACTTGTATATTGGGTGGCATAGTGTCACAGTGGCATTCAACAATGCTTGGCCCTTGTACTGAAGAGACCTGAAGGCGATGGACTTAGAGAAAAACACCATGCCCCTTAGAAGATTTCAAGCCTCAGTTGGTTCACACCTGGTAAGCGCAGGAAAAGCAAAAGTGAGGGTTGGCAGACCACCACCACCACCACCACCATTATCCTCTCCGCCATACATCTCACCATCACATTCACCAACACCACCACCACAGAGGAGGTGGTAATTGACTATTGTGCATCCAGATATGAGGAGAGATATTTTAATATAACCACTTCCCATCCTGGGAAGAGCAACAAAGCTTAGGCTTAGGAGGTACAGTGGTCGTCCAACAACTGGAAGGTTGGCGGTTCGATCTCCACCCCATCCCTAGCCTGTTGGCTGTTTCATTGGGCAAGACACTTAACCCACCTTGCTCCCAGTGTGTCCTCCACTGGTTTATTATTGTGAGTGATGTTTAGTGGTGGTCAGAAAGGGTGTAGGTGCAGTTTGGCAGCCATGTTTCCATCAGTCGGCCTCAGTTGGCAACTGTGACTACTAAGGTAGTTTACCACCACCAGAGTGTGACTGTGTGAGCAAATGAATAATGAATCCAATGTGAAGTGCTTTAAGGGTGTCTGATAAAAAGCACTATATGAATTCTGATGCATTATTATCAATATAAGACACTTTTGCCATGTGTGCTGTGGAAAATGCATTGTCCATCTGTGCCTGAACGAGAGCACTGTTTTCATGCTAACCACCTGGCAAGATATAAAAAAAAAAAAAAATTACTGGTTAAGATAGCTGCTTGAAAAACTACAGAAACTACAGAGGGGTTTTTTGCTCCTCTCAGTATTCTTTTCTGTGTTTCTGCTTAGTTCCCCCTTAGCTTTTGCTCTTACTATTTAGTCTTTACTTTGCCTGGAGAGTGGTGTGCACTTAGTGTAAAGCACAGGAAAAGATAGCTAGCAGAGGATGGTTTCGATCCATCGACCTCTGGGTTATGGGCCCAGCACGCTTCCGCTGCGCCACTCTGCTGCAAATCATCCCAGATAGAACTTGAACCCACAAGCCCTGACTTAGGAGGCCTTATCCATTACACCACTGGGGCCTGTTAAAGGTGCTCGCCTGCCCTGTCCACATTCAGTGACTTACACTACAGAGCATCAATGCAGGGAGTTTACATTGTGTGCACAATTATTAGGCAAGTGAGTATTTTGATCATATCGTCATTTTTATGCATATTTTCCAACTCCAAGCTGTAAAAACTTGAATGCTTATTGGATATAAGCATATCAGGTAATGTGTATTAATGTAATGAGGGAGGCTGGGGCCTAAGGAGATCAAAACCCTATATCAAGGTGTGCATAATTATTAGGCAGCTTCTTTTCCTCAGGTAAAATGGGCAAAAAAAGAGATTTAAGTGACTCTGAAAAGTCAAAAAATGTAAAAAGTCTTTCAGAGGGATGCAGCACTCTTGAAATTGCTTAGATATTTGGGCGTGATCACAGAACCAGCAAACATTTTGATGCAAATAGTCAACAGGGTCGCAAGAAATTTGTGAAGAAAAAAGACGCAAATTAACTGCCAAAGATTTGAGAAGACTCAAACGTAAAGCTACCAGGAATCGCTTATCCTCCAGTGCTGTCATATTCCAGAACTGTAACCTACCTGGAGTGCCCAGAGGTACAAGATGATCAGTGCTCAGAGACATGGCCAAGGTAAGGAAGGCTGAAATCTGACCACCACTGAACAAGACACACAAGTCGAAACGTCAAGACTGGGCCAAGAAATATCTGAAGAGAGATTTTTCAAAGGTTTTATGGACTGATGGGATGAGAGTGACTCTTGACGGACCAGATGGATGGTCCCGTGGCTGGATCAGTAATGGGCACAGAGCTCCACTTCGCATCAGACACCAGCAAGATGGAGGCGGGGTACTGGTATGGGCTGGTATTATTAAAGATGAGCTAGCTGGACCTTTTGGGTTAAAGATGGACTTAAAATCAACTCCCAAATCCAATGCCAGTTTTGAGAAGATACTTTCTTCAAGCAGTGGTATAGGAAAAAGTCTGCATCTTTCAAGAAAACCATGATTTTTATGCAGGACAATGCTCCATTGCATGCAACAAAGTACTCCACTATGTGGCTCGCCAGTAAAGGCCTTAAAAACGAAAGAATAATGACGTGGCCTCCTTCTTCACCTGACCTAAACCCTGTTAAGAACTTGTGAGCCCTTCTTAAATGGGAAATTTACAGTGAAGGAAGACAGTACACCTCTCTGAACAGTGTCTGGAACAGTGTCTGGAAGGCTTTGGTTACTGCAACACAAAAAGTTGATCGTCAACAGATCAAGAAACTGAGAGACTCCATGAATGGAAAGCTTATGACTGTTAATGAAAAGAAGGGTGGCTATATTGGTCACTGATTTTTTTTTTAAATTTTAACAATTTTTATTTGTAAATGTTATTTTGTATAGTGAGATGGAAAATTTTTCATTTTTAATTTACTTGCATAATAATTCTGCACACTAATAGCTGCCCCCAATAATTGTGCACACATAGATATTCTCCTAAGGAAGTCAAAATCTCACTTTTACTGCCTTAAATATTAGGGTTTGAGGTTTATTAACATTTTGGATTGACCGAGAGCACTGTAGTTGTTCAAAAATAAAATTTATCCTCAAAAATACAACTTGCCTAATAATTGTGTACACAGTGTAATAACTGGATTCCAAATGGCAGGTAGAAGCCCTGGAGAAGCTTGGAATCCAAGTTTCAAGTTCCCTCTGTCAATTTGGAAGTGTTACTTAAATGTTTTGTGTAAACATTGGTGTGCAATGTGAGGGAGAGTTTGCAGAGGATGGTTTCGATCCATTGGCCTCTGTGTTATGGGCATAGCACACTTTCGCTGCGCCACTCTGCTGCAAAACACCCCAGATGGGACTTGAAACCATCTTATTATTTATAAAAGGAGTACCAATTCGACATTACTTGAAGTTGAAGTAGACTCCATTTTTGTCTTCTTGCTTCCACCCGGGACGCGCCCCCCCACCCCCACCCAAAGTCACAAAATCGCATTGCCCAATATTTCGTAATTTTGTGTCGTATATTTGTGTCGTTCCAGGTGTGTAAGGACCTTTAGCCTTCTAAGTTTTACACCACATGTTCATTTACATTGTTTGATTTTTCCACCCAAGGCAAAAGGAGGTTACCTTCTCATCCACCGGGGTGAACCCCAACATACAGGCACCAAGCCGGGCAGCAGTAAGTATTGCCACCCCTGCATGGCGCCTCTCACCAGTGGCAACTGCAGGGTAGAGTAGATGAGAGTCCAACCTTACTTGAGAGGGCTGGTTCCACTATGTGTGGAGGTGAGTCCAAAGATCGAACTGCCAAGGTCCCCGCCTTCTGCTGCTGCCAAACTCACACTGCACTCTACTCCTCTGGCCCCTCCCATGGGCCTCTTCTGGCTGTGCCAGGCCCGGCCATCAGGTGCTTGTCATTGAGCCCCACTCCCAGGCCTAGCTCCAGGTGGTGGCCCTGGTGACCCATGTACGGGCCAAGGAAACACATTATCAAATATTGTATTCTTCATTAGGTTTCTATTTGGGCTACCCTTAGTCTGATCCCTCCCCCAGGAACTGTTTGCCATGGGTGACCCTAACAGCGGCGTAAAGCCCCCGACAACTTAGCTCCTGGGATCATTGAGACACGCAAACCCCTCCACCACGTTAAGGTGGTAGCTCGAGGAGGGGATTTTTTTTTTTTTTTTGATTAAATTTTTTTTTGTATTTTTTTTTTATAATTTTGTAATTTTTTTTGTTAATTTTTTTGTATTATTTTTGTAAAGTTTTTTTGTATTTTTTAAAAAATATATATTTATTTATTTTTTATTTTTTTTTGTCTTTGTTGTTTTGTTTGTTGTTTTTTGGTGTGTGTGGGAAAACCGGAGCTATCCCGGAGGAAACCACACAGACACGGTGAAACGTGTTAAGTCCTGACTGACAGAAAGCAGTAGCTTCAGTCTGTTAGGACCTGACATGTTCCTCTGTGCCTACCTATTGGCCTGTGATGGCCTCTGTGTGTGTATTTCTGTGTGTGTGTGTGTGTGTGTGTGTGTGTGTGTGTGTGTGTGTGTGTGTGTTATGGTGTGGGGTTGGGGTTTTTCATCTTTTCATCCTTCATCTGCTGCTTGTATTGGCGCCGATGTTTAGGAGTCATTCCCTTTTTAAGCCTCCTCCACCAGGAGATCTCCATCTGAGGTGTTTCTTCGATGGTCTTGAGTGTTGCTCCAATAATCTCCATCTCAGGTGTTTCCTTGATGGTCTCAGGTGTTGTTTTGGAGACCTCCTCCATCTCAGGGATTTTTTCCAAGGTCCCGGGGGTTGCTCCAAAGATCTCCTCCATCTGGGGTGTTTCCTCAATGGTCTCAGGTGTTATTTTGGAGACCTCCTCCATCTCAAGTGTTTCCTCGATGACTTCTGGTATTGAGCTGCAGATCTTCTCCATCTCTATGGTTTCTTTGATGGTCCAGAGTGTTGCTCCAGAGATCTCCATCTCAGGTGTGTCTTCGATGGTCTCAGGTGTTATTTTGGAGACCTCCTCCATCTCAGGTGTGCCTTCGATGGTCTCAGGTGTTATTTTGGAGACCTCCTCCATCTCAGGGGTTTCCTCGGTGACCTTGAGTATTTTTTGGAGCTCAACTAGGCACCTGCGCAGGGCCTGACAGACCTCTTCCTGGTCTTCTAGATTGGATGCCAGTTTGAAGCAGGTGCTGTTTGCTTCTGTCAGCTGACTGTTTAAGGTCTCCAGCTGATCTTCACAAAACTTCTCTCTGCTTTGGGCCTCTCTCTGCAGCTCCCTCACCTTCTGTTTCAGAGACTCGTTTTCTGTTGTCACCTCCTCAATCAGCTTCTGTTCTTTGCGATTTTTGTCCAGAAGCTGATGCCTGACTTCCTCCAGTTGTGCCATAAGGTCGTCAGGCATCTGCCCCTTTTCCTGCAGAAGAATATTTTGGGAAGCTACAATATCAAGGGTCTCTTGAATCTTGGTGAGATAAATTGATTCAGTCTTTGAAATCTCCTCTGCCCTTCTTGAAACTTCTTCCTGCAGGTCCTTTACTTGCTGCTCCAGAGCAATTTTCTCTGTCTCCAGCAATTCAACCTGTTTCAAGTTCTTGCTGTCAGTCTCCTGAAGCTTGCAGCTTGATTCCTCCTGTTCTTTTTGGAGGGTATCAGCCCTTAGTCTCTCGGCCTGCAGCTGGCTGTCAAGAGATGCAACACGATCTTTGAGCGCCTGCATCTCAGCTGTATTATCAGGCTTCGTTTCTGGTGTTCTACAGAGCTCCAACTCTTTTTTTAGCTCTTCCATCTCTTTTTCCATAGCCTGTTTAGCAGCCATCTGCGCTTTGAGCTCATTCTCCAAAGCATCCATGTTGGGGCCAGTGCTGGAGGCCTGCTCCTGCGGCTTTGGACCACCTGCGTGTGGCTCAAGTAACTTTTTGTTTTGGGCAGAAATTACACCCAAAAGCTCCTCTTTTGTTTTTAAAGGTCTTTGGTATGGGGTCTGGTGGTTAACCTGCCCGTCCCCTTGTGGTCTTTGGTATGGGGTCTGGGGGTTAATCTGATGGACTTCCTGCTGTGTTTGGTTAGAGGCCTGGTGGTTCACCAGGCGGAATACCACGGTTTTCTGACGAGGGGTCAGGTATACCGTGCTTACCATCTGCTGTTTTTGCTGAGCTGCTGGCTGAGTGGGGGGCTGCGTTGGTTGTTTTTGCTGGCAGCTGCTGTCAACACTGGCCCCTGGCATTGTGTTAATCATCTCCATATCCTCCAACTCCATCATATCTGCCCAGTTCATGGGCTGTGTTTCCTTGTTGTTCTGCATTGTGGTTTATAAATGAAGAACAGTGAAAAAAATCTCTCAAGTCTTCTGGACTGGTCTCTTTGGACGGTCTCTGTAGATGCTCTGTGTATACAGTCTCTGTATACGCTCTTTGTATGTGGTCTCTGTAAAGGTTCTCAGTAGATGCTCTCTGTAGACGGTGTGGTCTCAGATCAAATCTATGTAATAAGCTGTGGCTCAGCTCATATACTGTATATATATTGACTCTAGATGCCTTCGATGATGATGATGTCATTGTGACATCACTCTAAAGGGCTTTGATGATGTCATTGTGACATCACAATTCCGTTCCCTTGATGTTTTTTTTTTTTTTTTTCAAATGTAAACAACTTTATTTACAACATATCATAAACATTACAGTAATAGAACGGGGTTCAACGTATGTTTTAATCACAATGAATTGCAATTAAATGAAACAAATATGACAGAACAGTTACAATAGGTGAAGAGTAAAACAAAATTGTAAATCCAGTTCATCAGAATGGCAGAATTTCATTCCCTTGAGCTTCCTTGTGATTGATTCTCAAAGATTCTATTGACTCTCTGTGATGTCACAAAAACAAAACGGCTGCCCAGCCTCGGTGAACTACCCAACCCAACATTTTTTTTTTTTTTGTAAACAGATTTTACTGAAATTGTCAAAGTTTCGATACACTATGGTGACATATCATGCTTTAAGAATAAAGCTGTTAATTACACACACATATATAAACAGGGGGTAAACAGTTAATGCAATGACATGCGAAAACTCCCACGGCAGGTAATATGGCTGCAAATTCACAGCCAGCAGCTCAATGTCCTTAGTGCAGCACTGCTCCTCCCAGTATTCCCACTGCAGTCTAGTCAGCGCTGTGAGCTCTTCCATCTTGTTGGGGAGAGACCTCACGTTTCCCATGATGATGGACGGGACAGTTGGTTTATAATGTCTCCACTTCGCCTGATGCTGAACTCCAGCCCTGTATCCTCTCCTTCTCCTGTGGAGCTTGGTGGGGATGTCCGGTCTGTCCAAAGAAGGTGGCCGGGCTTGGCGCAGCGCCAACAGCTGTTCACGGCTGTAAACAATGGGGCCGCTGAACGGGTCGCCAGACGCGGACTTGAAAACTCCAAAAACTAAAAGAAAACAGTGCTAGTCTCTGAAATCTCTGTCCCTTTTGTGTACTTTGCAGGGGATAATAACCACTAAAAATTTGTGTTGAAAGTGGTACTTAGAGTTCATTTTCAGATATTGGTTTAAATGATTGGGCTTTTGGCCTTGTGCTCTTTCAGTCTCTGACTAAACACATGTGCCTTGTTACCTAAACTGACCTAAACCTCTTCACAAATGGTCAATTCAGAGAACAGAGACAGAGTATTTATTACCTTTCAATTTGACTCCATCCCTGACCATTTAAATAAACATTAATGCCTCAACAAGGTCTTCCATTTGAGATTTAAGTGTGTGAACACACACAATCCAAGGAAATGTCAGCAGAGCAGGACGCCGACCTCCAGACCTCGGTCGTAAAACCTTGCTTGACCATGTACTGATAAAAACTGCATTCCTTTGGGAAAGAATACAAATGACTGATCATGACATCTTTTGCATTCAGCTATGTACTAATCTGTCATATCATGAAATTTGTGTCAAAACGAGATGTGTCCCATTTTCCTATGTGCTCCAGAAGCCAAGTTATCACTCTGACAGAATAAATCCTTTATTCTTTAGTTTCTTTAGACCAACAGCTTTTCAGGCTGTTTCATGAACTTCTAAGAGTTTACTTTATTGAGTAAGAATCATAACTTTACTCTAAGTAGCAGAGATAGTTCAGAAATATTTGTTTTATATTTTAATCATTTATTTAGTATTTTTAACCATTAGGTGGTTATAATGTAATTGAATAATCTAATTGTTAGTATATAGAACCTATTATTAACTATGATTAAGTTGTTGTTCACAGTTTCTATGTGTTACTATCTGTTTCACTTCAGAGTAATTTAGCATGTTCAATGTGATACTTTAAACATAATGAGAATGTTTGAATAAGAATAAGAATAACTTTATTAATCCCTGAGGGGAAATTCAATTGTCTGTTGTTTCACAAAATATGTCTCTAACAGTTATCTACTATTTACACAGGATTTATTAAGTCTAATGGCTGTTGGTACAAAAGATCTTCTGAATCTTTCTGTTCTGCAGCAAAAAGAGAGGAGCCGTCCACCACCATTGGCCCTTTGGTCCATCAAGGTGTTGTGAAGTGGGTGATCCATGTCCTTTGGAATAGACTCCACCTTCCTCAGTGTAGATCTCTCCACCACCTCCTGCATTGAGTCCAGCTTGAGTCCAACGACAGAGCCTTTTTTACCAGTTTGTTAAGACGTCTTGCATCTTTGTGTTTGATGCTTCCTCCCCAGCAGACTGCAGCGTAGAACAGAACACTATAGACATCACAGACTGATAAAAAATATGCAGCATCGTACTACAGATGTCTATTGATCGGAGTCTTCTCAGGCAAAAGAGGCAGCTCTGCCCTTTTCTGTAGATGAAGTCTATATTCTTAGACCAGTCTGACTTATTATCCAGATGTACACCTAGGTATTTATATGATGTCACCACTTCGATGTCCACTCCACAGGTGTTCACTGGCTGAAGAGGGGGTTTGGATCTACAGAAGTCTATGACCATCTCCTTTGTCTTTGAGGTGTTGAGGAGGAGGCAGCTTTTGTGACTCCAGTCACTGAAGGCTCTTATCAGATCTCTGTATTCAGCTTCTTGTCCATTTCTGATACACACCACAATAGCGGTGTCATCTGAGTATTTCTGGATGTGGCAGGACTCAGTGCTGTATTTGAAGTCTGACATGTACAGTGTGAATGGGAATGGAGCCAGGACAGTCCCTTGTGGAGCCCCTGTACTGCTCATTAATGTCTCAGAAACACAGTTCCCCAGCCGGACAAACTGTGGCCTTCCTGTGAGGTAATCTGTGATCCAGGAAACACAGGAAGTATCCACTCCCATCTCTGTGATCTTGTCTTTGAGTATGGTGGGTTGGATGGTGTTGAATGCACTTGAAAAGTCGAAGAACATGATCCTCACATAAACCCCAGGTTCCTCCAGATGAGACAGGGCACGGTGAAGCATGTAGAGGACAGCATCATCCACTCCAATGTGTTCTTTGTATGCAAACTGTAGGGAGTCCAGTTTGTCTTTGACCTCAGACCTCAGAAGGCGTAGAATCAGCCGCTCCAGGGTTTTCATGATGTGTGAAGTTAGGGCCACTGGTCTGTAGTCATTGAGACATTTTGTTTTTGGTACTGGCACAATGCAGGATGTTTTCCACAGAGTAAGTACCCAACCCAGTTGTAGACTCAGGTTGACGATCTTGTGGAAAGGTTGACACAGTTCTGCAGCACAGTCTCTAAGCAGCCTTGGACACACACCATCTGGACCAGCTGCCTTTGTAAGAACAAAGTCTCCCAAGCTCCATCCTCACCCCTGTTTTGGTGACAGACAAGGACTGGTGTTCTAGGAGGGAGGCAGTTGAAGTGGTTGAGACATTTGAACAAGATGGAGGAGGAACGGGAGAAGTTGTAGTAGAGGTTTGTTGTGGAGAGGAAGGTGGAGTAGCAGTAGGAGTGGGTGTGACAGCAGTGTCCAATCTGTTGAAGGTTGAGTTCATCAGCTCTTTCCAGATCACCCACCACTGGCTGTCTTTTCTATTTATTGCTGTGTCCAGAGATGGTACTGATTCCTCTCCACACTTCATGGATGTTGCTGTGTTGTAGATTCTTCTCTATCTTTGATCAATATCAATCTTTCAATTGATATTGATGTATTTTATTGTATATTGATGTATGATTTTACTCATGTACAGCGTCTTTGAGTCTGTGAAAAGCGCTTTACAAAAAAAATGTATTATTATTATTATTATTATTATTATCTTCTTTTTGTACTCCAGCTTTGCCATCTTCAGTCTCCTCCTTAACTCTTGTTGCACTTGTTTTAGTCATTCTTTGTCACCATCTTTAAAAGCTTTCTTTTTCTGGTCAAGGATTGCTTTTATGTCTCTTGTGTGCCAGGGTTTGTTGTTGGGGAAACAGCAAACAGTTTTTTGGGTATAACTGTGTCTCTACAGAAGTTGACATATTCAGTAAAGCAGTCAACCTGTTTGTCAATGTTCATACTATCCACATCTGTTTCCAGCAGCACATTCCAGTCTGTTGATTTAAAACAGTCCCTTAGAGCTTCACTGGCTTGAAGTGTCCATCTTCTGATTTTGACTTTGGTCACAGGCTGCCTCAGTACACAAGGTTTGTAACAGGTTTGCAGCTAGACCTAGATATGATTTGACTTGCCCAGTGGTGGTAAGGCAGTGGCTCTGTAGGCTTCTTTGACGTTGGCATACAGCAGATCCAGGGTTTTTTGTGATTTGATTTGGTTTGATGTGATTCTACACTGTAAAACCTAACAGTGTATTTCAATAAACAAAATAAGTTCAAATAACTTAAAACTCAAAAAGTTACTCCTCCCTATAAAGTTGACCTTACTTGAAAGTTAAAAACTGAGGTGTCAACTAAGTTGTTTTTATTCATGAAATTGTAGAGCATTATGAGTATCTTCTTTTTGTACTCCAGCTTTGCCATCTTCAGTCTCCTCCTTAACTCTTGTTGCACTTGTTTTAGTCATTCTTTGTCACCATCTTTAAAAGCTTTCTTTTTCTGGTCAAGGATTGCTTTTATGTCTCTTGTGTGCCAGGGTTTGTTGTTGGGGAAACAGCAAACAGTTTTTTGGGTATAACTGTGTCTCTACAGAAGTTGACATATTCAGTAAAGCAGTCAACCTGTTTGTCAATGTTCATACTATCCACATCTGTTTCCAGCAGCACATTCCAGTCTGTTGATTTAAAACAGTCCCTTAGAGCTTCACTGGCTTGAGGTGTCCATCTTCTGATTTTGACTTTGGTCACAGGCTGCCTCAGTACACAAGGTTTGTAACAGGTTTGCAGCTAGACCTAGATATGATTTGACTTGCCCAGTGGTGGTAAGGCAGTGGCTCTGTAGGCTTCTTTGACGTTGGCATACAGCAGATCCAGGGTTTTTTGTGATTTGATTTGGTTTGATGTGATTCTACACTGTAAAACCTAACAGTGTATTTCAATAAACAAAATAAGTTCAAATAACTTAAAACTCAAAAAAGTTACTCCTCCCTATAAAGTTGACCTTACTTGAAAGTTAAAAACTGAGGTGTCAACTAAGTTGTTTTGAGTATTCATGAAATTGTAGAGCATTATGAGTACTTGTAAACATTTAAAGTTTGTTACATGAACTCTTGCAAGCTGAGTAGCTTTCATGAACTCATTTAACTCATGTCGAAAGTGTAAGCCCTGCTAACATGGGTAGGATAACCCGCTGTGCCTTTGACACATGCCATGCCCTAGTTCAAAGGCCATTTTCATGTTGAACCATAGAGGGAAGTGGGACTGCTGCTCGACATACATTTTGACCCCTAATTGATTCAGACTGGTTTTATATTCAAGTTAAGTTGCTATATTAAGATATGAGAAAGTCAAAAATATGAGTAATAGTTTTGATCTATTAAATCTTAATTATGGGAAAAAAATGACAAATTTATGAGGTTAAATGTAGATACTAAACTATAACTTTATCTCATGATTTTGACTTACAATCTCAAAGGTTATACTTTTGACCATAATTTTTGGCTTAATTTTTTGATCATCCTTGCATAGTTTATTCTTTATCATCAATTCTGGTCATATTAAACATGTTGTGGTGATTTTTATCTGTTAATTCTTGTAGAGTAATCTTTTTGTTGTGTGGAGTTTTCTCCCTTGTTTCCCACAGAGGTTGGGCGGCTCCTCTCTCACTCTGGCACCTCCGGCATGTACACACCTGTACCTCATCTCCAATAACCGCCCATTCTTAAGCACTGCTAAGCGGCTTCTCAGTGTCAGATGGTTCCAGCTTCTTTTGGGTATCAGACCGACAGCTACGAGTATCTAAAATTTGTATATTCTCGCTATTTGTGTATATTACCTGTGCTTACCCCTGCTCTCCTCTTTTCTCCTGCGGTGCCTCCTCGAGCCCGTTCCGCCAAGCCCCAGTCTCTGCCACGCTGCCAACACTCTCGCTCTAACCTCAGAGGGCTCTATTTTCGTGCGTGCCGGTGAGGCGGCGGAGGGCGGCGAGCCCCGCGCAGTTGTATTTTCGTCTGGCGGAGCCCGGCGTAAGGCCAGTTTGGTATTTTCGTGGACTGAGCCGCACGGATGCGAGCCGAGATCCGCCAAGCTGGGCGTGGTGGCGTGGCAGGGGGAGGTGTCGACACAATCAGCTGGCGCAGTGACATTTTCGTGCTCGCCACCGGCGTGTAAAGTGCGCTGAAAGCTCGCCGATTCAAACCTGGTCAGCTTTCAGCGCAAGACGGAACGCAGCTGGTCCAGTAGTATTTTGGTAGACCGGCGGCGTATCGACATACGTCACTGATGCCTCACCGGCAGGTTTCCACAGTGTCAAGCACATTTCAGTGCAATAAATAATCATCATCAACTAATAATCTGACTCAGCACATACATTTAGATCTATATTGATATATTCTGATCTATATGTGATCTGATGAGCGCGTTTGGCACGCGTTTGGACACACAACTTGACCGAATCAACACAGCTGAAACCGCATCAAATTAAATTAAATATCTAGTAAATACACACACATGATGAAGTTAACTAGATATGTAATTCGTCTCCCTCCTTTTCTTTCTTCCTCTTCCTCTTATTTCTCGCACAGCTCGACCTGGACACGTCTCCGTGTCCTCTGTCCGTCTTGCTGCTGCTGCAGCTGAACAGATGATTTGTTTCAGTGCTCAGATGCGTGATCTACTTTAAGCCGACATACGGATATTATAATATTCAGTTTTGTGGGCCAAATTTATTTTATATGCCAACATCTATGAAAGAAAGAGCCAGGTCACGGAGCGCGATGCGTCATTTACGCACAGATGGTTTCGATTTTAATGCCATTTTTGGAGTTTATGTTGTGATCTGTGCGCTCAACCCACCTTTGTCACGTGAGGTTTGAATATATGCAACTTTATGTGAGTGTCTTTATTTGTGGAAAAGGGTGTTTGTCTTACCAGTGGGTCCAACATTACACACACCAAATCCATCTGTGCTTATATGAGAGGGTGTGGAGGACACTTGTTGAGGAGCTGCCCTCTGTCGCCATCTTGTGGCATTACTGTCTTAAGACATCTCTTGATCTCTTTGACTACTTCATGAAAATAGTAATACGCCTCGCCTGTGGCGGATTTAAAGGCAAGGAGAGGAGCTTATGTGATTGGTGAAAACAGGTCTTGGCTGTGTTAAACACACTCCACGCCCTCTCTCCTCCCCATCTACGACTTATGGTGCTGGGAGGAGCTGAGTTAGGGAGGGGGGATACTTACGCCGGGCTGCACGGCTCACCAAAATACCAAAATGTGCTTGGGAACGCCTTGTCAGTGCGGCGGATCTGACTGACGCTGAGCTTGCGGCATGTCTCCGGCGAGGCACCAAAATAGAGCCCAGAGCCTCCTTGCACCCCGGACCTTGGATCACCTCCCCCTCTTCACTATTACTAACAATAAACCTTACAAAACTTCTTCTGCCTCCGGTCTGCTGTTGGGTTCACAGATAAGGTTTGTGGCAACAAAGTTGGTGGCAACATAAGCAGCAAAGGCTCTGGTGGCAGTCATGAATGAAGAGGCAGCTGAAACCTAAGTTACATGCTCTAAGAAATAAACTTGAGTAGGATGCTCAAGTTTTCCTACTGACAATACCATTGTCAGTTGTTGAGCTTGCATGAACAAAACTGGAAAATTTGCTGAACAACAGCATCTCATCATTGGTTTTGGACCGGATTGTTGTGTGTTCAAAAATGATGCTCAGCTTTAAGTGTCATAGTTTTTACTGCACTTCACCTCTGCTTTAATCCTGTTTGGGTTACATTTTCTTTTTTATTTTTACCACAGAAGGAAGAAAAATTTCTTTCTCCAATTTCTCCATTTTGAGAGAAACAGTGTGCAGGAGTTTATCTTTTTTTAGATGAAATTTTCAGTTGAGTCACACAATGTTTTATTGTTGTTGTTTGGAAAAGAGGGAAATATTGCCAGCATTAACATGCAAACATGCTACATCGCAGGAAAAAGACTAACATTTTTCTGAATTTATTTAATGATTTTTTTTCAGCCTGCATCTGATTGATGGACATTCGCTGATCATTTGCTTCTGTTTGTTTATGTTAGTCCCACAATAAAATCATTATTTTAGTGACTGTGATAGTGTTAACAACATTAGCATGGGGTTAATCATGTCCCAATCTCACAATGCACTCAATTCAGAGCCCTCAATTTATCAAAAAAATGTAAACATGGGGGAGTAGAATTAGATTGATAACAAATATTATCTCATTATCTCAACATAACCAAGATCGTTTTCTTGTGACAACAACTTGATTAATAATGTGCCCGCCATTGTTACTGTTGTTGTCCTATTCGCACGTGGCAGTTAAGTTTTCCCTCACTGACAGTGTAATGCACATAACGCAAAGTGGAGCATGCTGTCAGCGTTCAATGAAAACCCTGGCTTGCTATTAACAATGGTCGCTGCCATGTTTTAAAAATATCGCATAACAATCTTTGTTATGTCAAGATAATGAGATAAGAAGTAATCATCACGAGATAACCGTGCATAAAAAAAGAAAAATCCGCAGCTGTTCTTGTCTTCTGTAGATCGGCCCAGGCGACAAATCCTGAAGACACATTTGTGTTTGTTGACTGATGCTGAGATCACCAGTTTTCTGCTGGATGGGTAAGAGAAAATGTATTTACTAAGTTACAATAGTTTACAGAACAATGAAGCCGGAATTATCTCAATGCTACTGTTGGAGATACTACACTCAGAGTTAGGCAGCGATTAGCCTCGTGATGCTGTTTTGAAGGGGGATACTCCATGTCTCAGCTTTTGCTCAGTCTTTTTAAGTACTGATACTTATATCAATGTTAAGGAGACAAAGCATAAGAGGCAGTTTAATCAGACACTTCCTCATTTTGGTACAAACAGCTGTCTACTCCCCTTGAACAAAAACCATGAGTTTATCAACACTTAACCCTCCTAATCTGAGTTTACTACAACTTTATTTTTTGTTACAATATGACTTTAATTTTGTAACATTACAAAAAATTTACTCTCATAAACCTTTTAACTTTATTGTAAAATGTATGTAAAATGTGACTTAAAAAGGACTTTTTATGAGGCCCTAATACGCTACTCCTACTGTACGAAAGAAACATTGGCTTTGTTTAGCATTACTTTGCTAACGTCAGCTTGTCTTACCAAAACAATGAAAAACTCATAATTGATATCTCAGAAGAGAACTATAAACTATAGATAATTAGATTAAATAATAAAAAAAAACTCCACCTTATTACATGAAACAGTTCAGTTACTTGCATCTGATGTGGATGACACCGTCTTTATCCCGAAAGGTCACCATTGCCACGGCAACAGGAGAGAATGGCAGGAAGTGTTACAATCTAGAATGCTACCGCTAGATGTTGCTGAATATCCTTATTCTTACGCACTGACCCTTTAATTGGAACCTGAATTGAAGGTGAATTTAAAAACATGACTTCTAGTTGTTAAAGTAACTAACTGATTTCTTAAAGGAGCTAAGACAAAGAACCTTACTGTGGCTACACCTTAAAAAAAGCTGTAGTTTGCCTTTGCAAATATTCAAAATGTATAATGTATATGAGACTCATGCAGCGAAGAAATCATGCCATTTGTATTTTTATAAAGATTATCTCTATTCCATCTGAAGAACAATCTAATCAGCTAATCTATCAGATGAAAGGACACATGGAATTTGATAACCATCTATAAATTTACAAACTGACAAAAGACCAGCTTAAACTGGACTTTTGCCACAAAGATAAATCTATAACTTTCATGGAGCTAAAGTGTGTGTCAGAACACCATCTAGCCTTCTCTCTGCAGACTATGTGCTCAAATCAATGCAGAAGTTAATAGCAAACCGGCTTATTTCACCTCGTATAAAGTGCTGTGTTTTCAGATTGTAGCGTAATTGCTATTTTCTCCTGTCTGTTTTTAAATACTGATCAATGCTCCGTCTTCTGCTGAGCCAGTGAAAAAAGAGTTTTTTGGCCGAGGTCAAAGTGTAGGCAATCACATTGGGCATTCAGGTGTAAAGTTACACGCTTTTAAATTTAATCAGATCAGAGGTTTTACTGAGACCAAGCAGCAGGATGCAGAGTAAAGTGGAGTAGAGTTGATGTCCTGCTTCAAGCAATAATTTAATACTTGTGTTGTAACAGAGGAAGCAGAATGGATTCAAAGAAGGTATGCTGATAAATGGATATAAGGTTTTATTCACAAGATTTAAAGATTTTGCCCCTTGTTAAAGTTGATGCACTCTTTACAGAAACTCAGACCCTGAAAGCCTGAGGAAAACTTGATTTATGAGGGCATGAAATGCATCAAAGTATTTTAAAGACAAGAAAGAAAATTATTCAAACCTTCAGTAGAAAAGCTCAAATCCTGATGTGTGTATTTGTCTAATATCCTCCTAAATCATCCCATTATACCCAATTTAAGCCTCAGTGACCTGACAGTTGCAGGAATATATCTTATTTCAAGATATTACAAGCCAGAAAGAAAGCCTTTTATTAAAAACCTCCATGCAACGAGCCAAATTTCCATGGTGAGGTGTAATACTTATCCAAAAAGCTTATGTAAATTAACCCTGCTGCATTGGCAGAGGGTTTTCACTGTTTACTCTCATTACATGCAATATGGATGATATTTTTTTGGCATGTCATTCTTGAAATACAATATATTTCAAAACTTGTTAAATCAGTGTTGCTTAAATCAAATATAATGGCATAATTTGACAAGCTCTGAGAAAAACACGCTTGTTAAGATTTTAGTTTTTGCCTTTACCATACCCACATTTTTATACTCATTGATTCAGGTCATTTTCATCACTTTCATTAAATAAGTTTGGATTTTCCTATTTTTATGCTACCCCAACTCAAAGTAAGTTTTGTAACTGCAAAATACCTGAATTTAAAGGTTCTGTGCTGATGACAAGCTGAAGTGTTCCTCTCCCGTTTAGAGCAGAGGACTTGGCGTACATGATTTCCAAAAAAGAGTCAAATTCTGATTCATCAGAACACAGAACAGTTTCCCACCTCAACTCAGGCCACTATAAACTGGACCCAGAGAAGGTGCAATGGTGTATGGATCAATCCCACTACAGAGTCATGTCTGTTTTCAAAACAGTGCTTCCTGAGACCAAAACATCACAGCCATCTAAGATGAGTTTGGAGCCTTGTCACTTATTTAGAATATTTCTCCAGAGTTCCTGAATATTTTGACGTTGTGCACTGTATTCTTTGTAACTCCATACTGAGGAACAGTCTTAAATCCCTGAACAAATTGCTAATGCAGTGTCTCAATGGTAAACCACTTCCTTGCTTTAATTCTAAGATATCAAGCCTTGTTGAAATGTCCTTTATATACCCAGTCATGTTACTAACCTGTTGCAAATTAACCTCATTAGCTGAGTTACGTTCCTCCAGTTGTGTTTTCTTGAATTACATGACTTTTTCTGTGTTTTACTGTCACTATCCCAACTTCAAAATGAGCATATATTCTTGTTTAACAATAACACATTTCACTTTTGATGTCTTTGCACCATGTTTAATTAAATAATTGGTTTTAATAATTTGCAAACAGTCAACATCTGTTTATCCCAACTTTGAATTGTAAATTAAATTAATTTATCTGTCAGTGAAAAAGTTATTTGTCCATCACATACTCTTAATAGTTTTCTAGATTTAGAAAAAAACAACCCTTAAGGCCTTAAATGCAGATTTTTCAAAGGAGGATAAATCAAACTCTTCACATTCACAGTTTTTGTTTTCAAAGCCTTCATTCCCCTTTCAGTGTAGCTGCATTTTACTGCACACAAAAGTGATAAAAAATGACAAAATTTAAAACTGTTCAAGTGAGACAATGAAATCCAAAGATATTTCCAAATACATGTCACACCAGAGGAAAGAGACAATTTGAAGTTCAAAACACAATGGACTCTCAGAAACAAAGAAATGAAACCTTAATACAAAGTCGAAAGGTACTGGAGAACAGTATTGAAACAAGTTTAAGATGATGAATAAAGCTTTTAGTTATGCAGACGGGGTTACCACATCATCTCTTTTATTGAAAAACAAACCCTAATGGATGTTTGAGGGTATCTAGGGAAAGTGACAGCCAACTCTGTCATTTAGGTGAGAGAAAGGTTTTATATAAGATATTTTCAGCTCTATTAGGAGTCAAGGTTAACAACTCTTCTTTCAAAATAAGCCGCAGAAACTACAACAGTACTGTATGTATGTTTGCAGGTTTACCATGTTTATGCTGTCCTTACATACCTTCGTGTCTTAACTCTAAAAAAACTCTGTTACTTCTTTACTCGCTGACATCTCTCAAGGCTTGTTTGTCTTTTGTTTTACTGAGGGAGATAAAAATTCAGCAGAGGCTTCACTATCAGCCTGCAGCTCTCTCTGCTATCTGTCAATGCCAGAAACCTTTTTTGTCTCAGAGAATAAGAGCTATTACATTCCTATCAGATCCGGCTGTATACATGGGGTACAAATGCAAAGAAGAGGCTGGTTTTTCTTTATTTAACATACGCCTAGAAATAATATCAATAAAATAAATTTGGTAGTCATCTATTCATATCTTTAGCTTTAAATAGTAATTACAAGAATTCAGCTAGGCCTTGGAAATCATGCTTAAATAATAAAACTACAGAAAGACAATCATTCCTAGTCTTTTCTACTCACATCAAGCACAGAAATACCACATCCATCTCCCTTTAAGGGGGAACTTTGGGGGTTACAGACGACTTTAAATCCCAACGTTTTAACGCTTAATAAGTGCTGTGGTATTCACAAATAGAAAGTCGTGTTTGCACATCATGTAGCACACTGCAACTGTCAATGATACCCGCCTTAAAAAACATACTGCTGTCAACTGTGCACAAGAGACTTCAGATGTCTGAGGAGGAAGTGAATTTTCCCTTTTTTATCTGTACTTTGTATACAGAAAACTATATGCAAATCATGGCAAAAACCTTTGATGATGTATACAGACATCAGTAATATACCACTGTCATATTTTATATAACAAGCGGACAAGCTGTGTCAGCAAGAAAGCAAATGAAAGGAGGATAACACTTTATTGGAGGTATTAGGTTGTCCACTGGGGTGCCAAAATCGACAAAAACTCACAGGAAATTTAAATATATTTAAAATTTCTGGCCATGGAATTCAAAGTGAAAATCTGAAATCCTGAGAGCTCTGTCCTTCTTTTGTCTGACATTGTCCCACATTTTAAAGAAATACCATTTTCATGTTGTGTCTATCATGTTTGCACACTGACTCTGTAACTTGCATTTGTCTTTTTTGGAGAGCAGGTTTGATTTTCTGTATTTTTGGGATGCATCCAATGTGGTCTTCATATAAGAAAATATAGACAAGCAAGATTTTATTTGGATATACACTTTTCCAATGGCACATTTTGGATTAATAGTCTGTTTGTGTCCCTACCTGTTGGTCTTTTTTAAGCGTGGTTCCACCAGAAGAGTGTTAATTAGACTGCTGACATCCTAAAATGTACCTGGAATTAGTCGGGATAATTCTGCAGTCCCTTACACAGGAGAAGCAACTCCCCTCACTCATGTATTTTTTCAGGATTGGATGGCCCCAGGGTTTTTGCTTTCTTTTTCAATGAGTAAAAGAACTATAGAATCAGCCTCACTGCTTGTTGGCTCAATTTTTTGTCTTATCTAGAAATTTCACAATGGACAGGATCAGATTACATCAGGTTCAGAGTGCAAGCTTTATGTGTGTGATGTTTGTATCGGCTTACAGAGCTGGAAAAAAAATATCTGAAAGACATGCTCTGTGTGCAAAGACCTTTGGAAATGTTAAACCTGAGAACATACTAAAATCTTTTTCCAAATATATCTGCATTTTAATTTGTCAGAAACCACCAGTGATGTATGAATACTTTGCAGGGACTGACTCTTGCAAGCTAATTCAGCAGCCAGCAACTCACATCACACGTCATTCTCACAATCACATTAATCCTCTCAGCTTGGCCGCTCCTCTCAGCTGAAAGATTTCTGGTCTCTGCCTCTGCTTCGCCAGTGCCAAACATTCAACCACCTCCCAGCACCCACTAGACCCGCTTGTCCTTCATCATATAAAAATAAAACTACACTGAGTGATGAAGTTGGAGCCCAGACTCCACACACAGCCAAGCTTCTGCTGCTGCTGGAATAGACTTTTTATAAAATCTAAGTGTGAGTTGTCTGGTTTAACTTTACCTTATAGATCCTACAGTAGTGGGAAGAGCGAGAAAACTTGAACCATGTCTTTTTTATCTTATAAATATATCTATATATAAGTCTTTCTCTATTGTTGTAAATGGGTCAAAGTCCCACCCTCAGTGTTTTTATGAAGGTGACAGCCGGGGCTACACAGCTCAATGTCGAGATGGAGTGGTGCAGACGGATATTTTCTCCGTTGGCCTTTGACCTTATAAAGAATTTATATTTCCACTGGGATCAATGACAGATAATGAATCTCGTTCCTTCATATGAAACCTTCTGATGACCTGGGGCAAGAGCAAAGAGTGTGACTTGTAGTTCCTTTGAAAAATAGATAAAGAAAAGAAAAATGATAAGCTGCTCCTCTTATTTTTTACAATATCTGACAGGATGTCTTTGAGTCTGTTTTTTCAGTCCATGAGAGAGTCTAGATCATTCCAGCAAGCCACGGAGGAAGAAAGAGTCCCACAGATCCCAATATACACACCAGTACAAACATCCAAAGGAATATCCTGTCAATGACCATGGCCACATACTTCCAGTCCTCCTTCACCTGAACGAGAAGAGACACAACAGAGAGGGACATTGTGAATTTCACACCACACCACCTTTCCTTCGTTTTACCAGTTGTCACTTTCTCCTCTTGATTGATTTCTTTCGAATGGCTGATTTTTTCATTATGAGGCAGCTTTCTCCTTAAATGTCAGTCAATCCTCGCTCGTCTCTCCTATAAAAAATTCAAGGTCAAATTACATGGGTCCTGTTGTCCCAAGAAGAGCCTTTTTCTTGGCAGGGGATAGAAAGCGCATTGTGCTACTGGCAATCACTCTGCCAGTGAATGCAAAACTCTCACCGCTGATTTTAAAGGAATTGTACACATTTTTGTATTTCTCCCCCAGCTATACAAAAGACCTTTCAATATCTCAGTAATTACTTCAACTTGGTACTGTGTACCTGTAGTGTTTTGCTGCTGAGCATCTTTCAAACTCAAAGACATTTTCACAGATACATTTTAAAAGTACTAAAGAGGTACGCAACACTGTAAAAAATGAAGGCAAAGTAACAGCGAACATACAACAAAGACTGGGAGGGATGTCTGAAGGCCATGAATCTAACATTAACAGGAACTTTCAGCTGGATAAAAAGTTCTTTTCAGGGACATGTAAACACAGTGTACTAACTCAATTAAAAGACGACCCCCACTTTCTAAAAACCCATCTTATCAAAGGAGACCTAAATGCTGATCTGTTTTTATGTAACACTGTTGGCCCATTAAGTCTAAGCTAAGTTTTAAAACATGATATATACTGAAGCTGGTGTCATCGCGTTCACGTGCTTCTCTTAACAGCTCATTTTGAGAACTTTGTGAATCTTTGTATGAACCTGGCATCAGGTTCTGCCATCCTATACGGTCAACACTGAAGGACAAGCTCACTTGGAGAGTCCATTTCAGCATTTTAGGTACAGGCTGAAAGTGCTGAAATGAGACAAATGAAACTCCGGTCCATGTTTTCACTGCTACCAGCATCTTCTTGCATACTGCGCAAGTGCACGCACACAAACACACTGGTAGGTGAAATAACTGTCACAGCAAAATGTTAACTTTGTGAATTTACTGAAACTAAATGTCTGTTTTCATCTTTATGTTTCTGTGATAAAGTCTCTACAGAGCTAATGCAACATTAGCAAATTGTGAAAAGATGAGGAGGGCGAGTAGTTTTCATTTGATTAACCGCTCTTCTTATTAGCTTACCATTGACAAGCTAATGCTAAGTTAGTGTTTCCCTTAATCAAGTCATTCCCCCACAGTCTCTCATAGAAAGAAAATGTTACATTTACATCACAACCCCCGCCACCACCATAGCCTTCTGAAAACCTATGGGTAACACAGCAAATGGGGCTCCTCCTCCTTACAAAAGCCAATTCAACCACTGGCAACACAGCCCTGTAAGCACCCCAGACTAACGGACTGAAAGGTGGTATATTAACACAATCAGCTCAACATTTAAAACTATGCAGACTATTAATATTAGCTTAAATAGAAATAAATGTTATGGACTCACTGAGAAATCTGCATCCTCTGCCCTGAGATGATCAGCAATGTACTGAACTCCCTCTATGGCCCGCTGCACAGCTGGAGAAATGGTTGTAACCACTGTGTCCTGTTGGGTGCTCACGTCTTTAGTGGTCTCTGCTGTGAGAGTTTCTGCAGGGGATTGTTTCCTCACCTGGTTTAAGATGCCCATGACCCCTGACCCTTCATCATGCAGACAGCAGTACTGGAAGCTGCGGGAACGGCACAGATGCCCAGGTCCCTGTGGAAGTTCTTTCAGATGGTCACACATTTGCTCTGCACTGTGAGAGCGTCCATTCGGGGCGAGCAAAGTGGGTTCTTCCCTGGAGAGTCTGCGAATTGGACCCATTGGCAACGTTGGGGGTAAAGACAGCTGGGAGGATGAAGATGCTACAGAGTTGTGTCCACGTAAGGAGAGTCTCTCTGAGAGGGCTGAATACTGACCGGATGTGGTCCTGCAGAAAATGGCCTTCACTGAGTGATTATCCTCGCTGCAATCTTCAACTGGAGACGTGGCTGGCGAGGGTGAGCAGACCAGGATGCTTGGACTGTCTGACGGAGTCTTTGGGAGGATAGTCTCTTTTTGACTTGTCTGTCTTAACCCTGTCTCTAACCCCGACCAAAACGCCTGCGAGTTGCCTGTAGCAGATATGGTGGGAGGTCGGTGCATCATCTCAATAAGCTTCTTGCAGTGTTGCTTGGCCGTGCCTGGCGGGCGCTTCATGAATAAAACTCGTGGCACCATGTCTAAGAATACTCTTCGCACCCAGTGAGGCATGCTGTGGGTTTGTGGTGATCTGTGATGTACATTCAGCACAAAGACGGTAATTATGATGGAGAGTGTAACAAAGACCATAGTGAACAACAGGTATTCTCCAATCAGGGGAATCACCAGTGATGTTGAAGGTATAATCTCTGTGATCAGCAAGAGGAATACAGTTAAGGAAAGCAACACCGAGATACATAAGGTGATCTTCTCTCCACACTGCGATGGCAAATAAAACACCAGCACTGTCAAACAGGAGATCAGCAGACAGGGGATGATAAGATTGATGGTGTAGAACAATGGGAGCCTCCGAATAATGAAGTAGTATGTGATGTCTGAGTAGATCTCTGTGCAGCACTCATACTTTTTTGTGTTGTACTTGCCCACTGCATTGACAATGACCCACTCCCCACTCTCCCAGTAGTCCATCTGGTCCACATTACTGGCCATCGTGATCAGATCGATCTTGGCTCGGTCGTAAGTCCAAGAGCCGAACTTCATTTTGCAGCTTTGCTGGTCAAAAGGGAAAAAGGTAACATCTATGCTGCATGAAGACTTGTAAATGGCCGGCGGCATCCACTTTATCCGACCATCATAGAACAGATGAGCCTTTGTGAGGTGAGTCACAGCAAAGTCGCCATCAGCACTGCAGAGAAAGGATAGGGTGTAAGAGCAGAGAAGAGAGGAAAAACTTAAGCTCTTCACAAAGCCTTCCTGTCCAGAGCTTAGCAATTTTTATTCAGTTGGACCAAGATTTTTTTTTACACCTCTTCAACTGAATCCTAAAACTTTGATTGTTGATGCACTTCAATTAACCTATGTCAAAAACCCTGATCAGAGCAAGTAAGTGTTCACTACTGAAATAATGTTCCCAAGATCAAGGTAAAGCCTTTATATTCATTGTTTGCTTACCTCTGAGGTCTCTTCTAAATAAAATCATATTTATATAAAAGTTTTCATTTCAACCATGACTTTTAGTGACTAAAAAGTAGATCTTTTCATGTTTGGAGAGCAACGGGTGCAAACCATTAAATACTTTTATCCCTGACGTTCTTTAAGCTGATAACCCTTTTCAATAAGGAAGATTATTTTATTTCTTTCATGTTACCTTTCTTATGTCACTGGCCCCCATACATGCGGAGATAAACCGATCCCTGTAGTTTTAAAGGCACGTGCAGGCACAAGGTACTAGCATTAGCAGAGCAGCTGTAAGAATGCATTTATGATGAAATCCAAATGCAACACTTCTTAAATGTCTGCATAAGTAAATTTCAATCCATTTAAGTTTAGATGTTATTTGCATTAATAAGAAACGTGATCAAACTTTTCAAATCACCAATCACCATAGCTTTACTAAATCCCAAAGCTAAATACCATCATGCTGCCACATAACTTACCTAAAAAATTATCAGATTGTTGACCGTGTATTGAGATTAGTCCTGCATCAGCTTCTCACAAGAAATGCCTAACACTATTACTTATGCTAATATTGTCTCTGATTATATAAAGATGCAGTATTTGTTGATACATATTTTACTGCTGGCACTCACATTTAAAGGTCTGGTGGAACACAACATGTAACAACTTCCAACAGATAGAAACAGTACTATAAAGATCAATTTGACTAGACAAAAAATGCACAACTGCAAAAAAAAAATAAATAAAAAAAAAGAGGGTAAAGTCTCCTACAAAGCAAAAACCCATTACAAGGATCAAAAAGAGCAAACACAAGACAAAAGAAAACATTTTAATGCGTTCAAACAAAGGTTTTAATAGGGCATTTCAATAGGACAAGTTTATATGACTGGAGAGGGGTAAAAAAATCTATGGATGAACAGGTTTTGGTTTGTTCATGTGGAAATGTTTGATCTTTGTTTTGATGATTCATCAGGTGATTGAAGTGATTTGACCGAGTTTTGTGTGGTAAACAGTCCGGGGTTCGGAAGCTGCTGTATTTCTTGGTAACATAAAAACACACATAAGACATTAAATACTTATTCATTTGATGGATTCTGACTTTCCTTTGTGTTGTCTTCTTATTCCTGATGCCTCTTATTCTGTCTTTAATTTGTAGATTGTTTAGTAGAGACAATCAAAGTAGAATCTGACCCATCTAGGTCAGAGATCTCTCTCTGTGACTGAAGACTACCATGGCAACAGCTGTCTGATCGTTCTCTCTTTCATGGCCTGTCTCTATAATCTGATTAATCTTTGTTGTAATCCTCTCTTGTCTGTCCAGTCCTACTAACACACCTGAGCTCCACTCACTCTGCGCTGCTTTGACTCGTCAGCTGACCCTGTCATCTGTCAACCCTGTTGCAATTAACTTGAGTACACAGAGAAATCACCTGTCAGCCACTGTGAGATAGATTTCCTCCTGTGACTTTGAAACATCTGCCACAACAGCCATATAGCTAACAACTGACCCAGTAACCACAATAGTCCATCACTTAAAGTCTGTTTAGTAATTCTTAAAGAAAAAAGATCATCATGTGTATTTGATGTCCTAAACAGCTCCAGTTGTCAGCCATCTGGTGTTGTAATAGCACAAAGTATGGACATTGAAAGAAAGGGTTGATAGCCCTCTGCTACACTCACAATGCCTTAATCTTGTTTTATAAGCACTGGCCAAAGCAATGGAAACCACTTTGATTGTTTATTTTTACACAGATTTCAGGACCATGGACAGAGAATGGAGGTCTTGTTCTTCACTCTCAAACTAGGAAGTGTTGCAGTTGGTACAGATGATAACCATCTTTAAAAGAAAGACACACACACACACACACACACACACACAGAGAGAGAGAGAGAGAGAGAGAGAGAGAGAGAGAGAGACTGCTGTCATGCTAAGCATATGGTATTATAGGAAGTTCATGGTCGAGCTTCTCTTTGCCACACATCATAAAATAGAGAGGAGACAAGAGTAGAAGCACATGCTAGTGAGCTAGCTCTATCAGCTCTAAGAGAGATGATTTTAAAACTTTGTTCAAGATTTAATGTAACTCAAAATATAATGTAAAAGTTTGTTTCTTTTTAGGTTACAAATGTACAGAATATTTATACTTCCGGTGTGTTTTTAAACTATTTTCATTTAGTTCTGTTACTTCAAAATAAGCGCATATTTGGTAATACGTCAAATAAAGTCGCCAAACTGCTAGATGGGAAAAAAAAGAGGCATTAAAAAAATCATTTTATGAAGCAATGTCTTTTCCAAATTAGTTTTAGTCATTCGGCTGGTGATGTAATGAATAATATGTAAGTTAATTTGGGTTTTTAGTTAAGTTTCGTACATTATGTGTTTCTCGACCCTCGTCCTGCCTTTCCTCAATTTGACTTCCCATAAACATAGTTATGATAATGTTTCTGTGATTTTTTTTGTCCATTGTAAGGAGAAAATCTGATGGAGTGGCAGCCCTAATGTAAACAGTTGGAATGAAATGTATTATCTTCATAAGCTTTCTGCAGCTGAGTAATACAGATGAAACAAGTTTCTTATTTAAATTTAAACAAAAAAAAAATGATTCTGAATTCAAAGCTGCCACCTCAGAAATCACAACACAGCTGTCACCTGTAAGTATAATACTCACTGTCAATTTAAAACTCTGTTGCAAATCAGTAAAAAAAAGATGAAAGGATATTGAATAGGCAAACCCATTGTCTCTTTAATTTATTTTGACGTCAATGTGTTGCTGTACAATCAGGCCATTATCAAAGGGACCTTGACAATCCCTGTTTGACACTTCCTGTATAAATGAAGCAATCATGCCATGTCTTGCCTTATTAGATCTCTCAGATTAATGTTAGAGCCTCTGATGTTTCATCACAGAAAGATAGAATGATGTTTGTAAAATTAAATGTGAATTTAACTCTTGTATTAAACTAAATCTGCTGCAGCTGTTTCTCTTTGTATTAATTCTCCTCATTAAGTAAAATAAATACTTTGTCTAAACGAGGCACTTTCACTGGATGCATTTTATCTGACGCTCTTTGAAACACACTCAATTAAATTCCATCTTCTAATTTTTTGTATAATGTGTTGCACTGCACAACGTACCAAGCTTTGTTTGCAACCACATCCATTAAACCTGACCTCGCTCACATTCATTTTAGCTAAATTACTTTATGACATTGGCACAGGACGAGATGTTTGGCGCTTCTTCATGTTTTTCCTCCAGTCATACCATCTGTTGGAATTAAATCTTCAATATCGGCATATTAGCTGCTTCATGAAAATCGATTTCCTCACATGAAAAACATAAAACTGATAGTGAGGCTTACTTGTTGTAAAGGACAATGTCAGGCCGCCAAATGATCTCTGAGGGAATACGGATAGAGGTGACATTTTCGTACTCTTCTGGGTTCCACCGGAGTTTGTAATCGTTCCATTCCTGGAGGGGGACATTAAACGTATTGTAATAATGAAGACTGACATTAAGGTGAATATCTACACATGCTGTTTTTTGACCCTCATCATCACATACTTGCTTGACCCAAACGTTCGTGGTCATCATCTGGTTCTTTTCATCCTTGTTTCATGAAAAACAGAAGCAAACATTATTGTGAAGATTTTATTTATACCTCTACGTCTTCATAATTGCAGAGATAGAATTTAACTCTTTGAGTAACGTATTTTGAGAGTTAGTACCTGCACTTACAAATCAGTTACAGTGTTTGGGGTATTACTTGGATCACACAATAATCCAGGGGGCAAGGATTACTTTTTTGCTGACGTGACGTGTTTCAGTGATCTCTTAGTTACTTTATAAAACTGTCTCCGTTTGCCCCCTGCTTTAAGGCAGGTAAAGATAAACCAACCAACCAATGCTTGAGTAAGTTGACAGAGCAGACAGCTGGTACATTTTAGAAATATTCCCATTATTTTGAATCTTTGGAAAAAGAAGCTAGAACAACATCGGAGTGAAATGCAAGCTGTGTCTGGAGGACAAAAGCCTGTCAGCTGATCTGTGTTTCAAATTTCAGGCAATCTCTGTTGCCTCTGGTATGTCCTGCACACCCTCTTATGGGTGCGACCCCTCCATTTAAACAGCTTTCACCTTCACTTCATCATGAGTGGCTCTGATCAATGAGACACAAAGTTCGGGAGTGTGGAGAAGTTTAATTTTGGATTGCTGTATTTTCAACACAATAGTACAAACTATCCAGCAGCTTCGGGTGAAGAAAGGAGAGCAAGGAGAGAAGCAGGAGGAGGCAGGTGTGTGTGTGCGTCAGTGTGTGTCTGAAAAGCAGAGGGACAGAATGTGCAGGACAAGATTTGAGTTTCTTACCACTTGTTGTGTTTTCAACAAAATAAGAGTTTTTATTTTTGAAGAGGTTGTAACACAATAAATAATGTTACCAAACACTGGTTAAAGAACAAATCAACACACATAACCTCAGTTTATTAGACAGATTAGTTGTGTAATATTACAGAGAAGAAGTACTCTACAGAGCTTTATGCAGAAACCCTCGCTGTATTTTCTGCTGTTGCATTTCTGCCACTGCTGGCAAGCTGCTTCCCCCTGCGCTTCCTCAGCTACATCTAAGACACAGCAGTCAAGGAAAACAGGAGAAGAAAACCTCACCCAGAGCTGACTCTCACTATACCAGGCATGTGGAGCAGACACTGTCTCTTAATTGTGTGTGCAAAACCCTGGATAATGGTCCCTACAGCACCGCAGGCTGTGCATATTCAATCTCAGAGCTGCCCCAACTTTGCAGGGCTCTAAATGGCTTAGTTAGAGGTGTTTTAGGACAGTTTTACCTGTAGTCAACAAAAACCCTGCTACAATATTTGTCTGAAATGAATATGTGTATCAAGCTTTGCAGTGCAGATATACCACAGAGAGAGGAGAGGATGGGGATAGATTATTTTGGCAGAGTTATCTGTGTCTTGTTTTCTGTTTTAGGAAACAGTTGTGAATATTTACTGCCATTGTTTCCATACTGGAGGAGTCATTTGATTTAATTTGGGAAAACGTTTCAATCTCTCCTGCTGTGGTTTCATTTCCGCTGATAGCTGATCTGTATATTAGAAATTGTCTCTCATGCCAAGAATAGCTTTCCGTTAGTTGCTATTATTATCATAATGAGTATGAGACAGTGAATAGAAACAGTACCTGAAAATGCATTGTCTACACAAACAAATGTAACAATTTCTACCTGGGGATAAATTCAGACCAGAGGTTTACACTTTCAGATTGTGTGAAATTCTCAGCAAAGACTTGTTCTGCTGCAGCTTTGAAGTCAGCAAATGCACATCAAATGGACTAACAATGGACTAACAATTACTGACTGAAAGCATGCTCATTTAAAACAATGTGTTGTGGGAAGAGTACTTAAGGGGCCTTTCTCACCCAAAGTCTGCTTAAGGTCCGGATCAGGGACCAAATGTTTACATTGTTGCATTTTGCATTTGTTCCAGTTAGCTCTCACATGGGACTATTGCTAAGCAAACCAAATGGTTAAAAAAAAAAGGGGGGAAATTACGAGGGAAAATCACTGTCCCGTCACCTGCCCATTTGGGGCACAATCTTCATTGTCATATGATCACAGCCATCAATTAAATCACCTCTTGCAGCTTCTGCCTCAAAGACAGATGTACAGAGTATCCTGTGTAAAAGCTAATGTTTGCAAAATATTTCCAAGTAGCCTTTAAAAGTCTTTAATGCTGATGCATTTAAATACTTGCCTGCTTTCTTATACTGCACACATTTTGTCTCACCCTGTTAGGATTTTATTTCCCATTAACTACGCTCTCACTATACTTTATCTCTTATGTATTTCCGTCTGTTAATAGTTTGTGCTTTTACAATAAGTTTATAGTGATTTTATGTGATTTTTTTTCTTAAAAAAAAATTTGCATGTAAGTCAAAGACAAATGTCTGCTTTTTGCATGCAAAAAAGACAAACTTATTTTCTTTTCTGCTCATCAACTTTCTAAGCCCTATTCAAGTAGACAAACTGAGGCAATGTTTGCTGTCAGTTTTAAATTCAGATGAAGGATCTGTATCAGAGATGCTTAACTCTGAGCTGTCATTCACAGGGTGTTTTTGGAAAGTTTGTGTTGTTGAAAGTTTGGAGCCTCATGTTTCACTTCCTCTGGCAGATATGTCTGGTCCTCCTTCGGGTTGATCAATGAATCAGTCGATTCTCATTTATACTGCACCACATCATCACCAAAATACCTACAGAACTAAGTCTTGACTGGAAACTTTGTTATCATTTTGGTACATTTTAGACAGATATACATCCAGCCTGCCTGAAGTCAGACCAATTATGACAGTTTTTTGTTAAATGAGACAGATTTGATATGATGACTCACAGAAATGAACAGCCTGATAAGTCTATTTGGTAAACAACAAAGATGAATCCAACTGATGTGGGAGAGATGTTTTCTAGAGCAGAAACTTGGGTGAAATTCCAGAGTATTTGTCTTATATTAAGTCTGATGGGATATGTTTGACCAAAAATATGCCACATCCTCATTTCATGTCTAGATTAACAGCTATTTCAAGATATTAAAAGGAAATTAATTAGAACTGAAAATTTTAAAGTGAATGAAATGTCTGCCAATGCAGAAGGTAAGATTTGACATATTCCAGCAGGAAATAAGACAAGGTCATTTGCTTTAATTTGTATTGTGTGTGATTAAATGTGTCCCATAAGGGTGACATTCTGATTATTAAACATTGCAGGAAACATTGTGGAAATGATTGAAAATACCCACAGAGGCATGCCAGGCCAGGCCAACTTGTGTATGGCATGACAAACTGAATAGCTATACAGCATTTATTTGCCTCTGCATCATATATATTAACAATGAAAAGCTAGGCTGCCTATAGCCCTTACTCTGCAATCAGAGTTCTTGTGTATTTTGTATGTGCACTGCAGACGCTGCAGTTCTTTTGCCTTAGCGTCTTGGTCTGATTGTATTTCCATGAAGTAATGATCATAAATATTCTTCCTTGAGCTGCACTCTGTGATGGACTTGTCAGGACTCCCTCACAAACAAGCAGCTGCTGGAGGAGGGTGAGTGAGTTGTGTTTGGTCTCTTTGCTAAAGAAATCAGACAAAGCTAAAAAGATGTTTGGTGACTAGTACTATGGCTGGGACCCTATATGTACTGTTGATGAAGTTAGGTGCTGTTCTGAGCATTATTTGTGGCTATAGAGTGGCTTTTTGGTTGAGGTATGCGAGTGGAGACGTAAACTGCTGTGTATTGCTATTGTGCGGTCGTTACTTAAGTTGGTGAAACTAGAGAAGCAAGCAGTCGGCAAAATTCATCTCTCAAGGGGGATCTAACTCTGTCTTACGGTGTGTTTGACCATGACTTAAAATTTATGCCCGAATATCCTTTTAACCTAAAAGCGCCAAGCAGGTATAAACATGCCAGTTGTCTGCTGTGAACAAGACAATTACACACAATCGTCAAATGCAAGTTGAGGTAATGGCAACAGTGTTTCCCTAAACATTTGTTTTAGCCATCCAGATGAATAATGGTTGAAGCCTGGCACAGCAGTAAATGATGACAGATTTCAAAGTTTTGTTTCCATAGTGTGTGGTGAGAAACAATCAGGTGAACTGAGCACATACAGACTCTTCTAACCATCATCCGGAGTCCAGACTCTCAAAACTGGAACTCTTGTAAAATCTTGTTTTCAGATTGAATAAAAGTGGCAAACAATGAGAGCTAACTTTACCCGCTGCTTATTTTCTTGATACATCAACTTTGTACATCAAATTCATTATTAACATGTTTTGATAATTCAAAGTAATTGTGTTATTTACATTTGCAAGCTAGCCTGACGATGCCAGACCAAGAGGTGCCATCATGGAAAAAAAAAAAAAAAAGAACATGTTATGTGGTTCACAGAGCTTACACGTCAAATTGATGCTTCTGAAAATGGATTTGCTGCTTATTTGTTCAGGACTTGAACAAAGCCGCAAGGTTTTACTCACCACATCAATAAGCTGGGCGATTGAGAGGCCGAAGTGGACGAGCACTGTGTCTGTGGTGTTTTCAACAGGTCTGGAGAGCTTATTGTAATGTGCAAACAGATTCTGGAGCAGCCTCTCCTCGGCGTGGGCTCGAGGTTCTACCTGACAGTAAACTGATAGGAGAGAGAAAAAGATCAGACACATGAGGAAAGCTTTGACTAAAGACGTGCCTTTTTGTAGCCCCTCTACGTTCTTTTGATATCTTTTTGGCTGCTGAAAACAATACACATTAAGATCTTTCTTTTAATCCTCAATTTGATGCTGCTTTTCTTTAGTGCTCACCCTTTAAACACACTCTGCCAGCAGCTTTCTAAATAAAACCGGTTTGAGTTTGTTGCATTTTTATACACTAATACAAACCATGAATTCAAATGCATAATATTAATACTGGATGTATTTTTTAAGGTGTGAGATAAGCTCATTTATAATTGATCTAGCTGCTCCCATAAAGAATCCACTGCTGTAGATACAGAGTGTAATCTAAAAGGAGGGTGACCTCTATTATACAGGTGGCGTGTGGTTACATGAGACTGTATCTGAGAGATGAGAAAAGCAGAAAGTGGAGGAGGGAGGGGGAGGCAGGAGATGAGAGAAAGTAAAAAAGGAAGGATGAATCTGATTCTGAGGACATCCTCTGTGTCTCCAAACAGACGGGCTGATGGAGTGATCTGTCCAGACGTCTCACCCCTCCCTCCTTTGCCCTCCCTCTTGCCCCCTCTCGGCCTTAGTTTCCCTCTCTGCCATGGACGGTCTAATAGAGGAACTCAATCACACACAGAGTTCACCATTGACTTACGCAGCACTGGGGATGACCCTAACAAGGTCTGGGAACAATTAAAGAGACAGGGTTGTCCTGAGGCTGCACAGTACAATGTCCTTTGTATTCCAATCCTGATATTCAATTAGGCAGTTTCCTATGTTGGACCTTGTGCATCTGTGAAGGTAGTTCAGTGGCACAGCAATACATCATATGCTGTGATTTATATTTCACCAGCCTCACTGATAGTTCATTTTCCTGCCACTGCTGCATAATTCAGTCTTTCTTTTGTGTGGAGCATTGTAATGTGTACATTGTTTGTTGCAGGATATATTAATTGTGCAGGAGCTAGGGGTGTTTTTTTATGTTACCGTGTTAACACTTGAGTTGTGTGATTGTACAGGAAGGATTTATAAATATGATTCTCTCTTTTATATCCACCTATCGTATCTTGTATTCCTAAAACAGGGGCACAGGTGTTGTTGTCATGCTGCTGGCCTTCCTCTTAGGTCCTTCAACCCACTCAATCAAAGCTGATGGGCTGTCCTTCAGTTGCATGAAAACTGGCATCCTCATTTCTTTAAGGCATGGGATCAATATCTTATTAAATGGATATTTTTTTTCTCTCCACTTTTTTTCTTTTTATTTGCACTTGAACCTGTTTGACGTGTCCTGATGCCCAGCAACCTTGAAACGTCTCTGTGGTTTTATTTTTTTGAACAGTGAAAAACAGTCACATGCAGGTACTTCTGTTTGATCCCATCAGCTTCGAGCGATATCTGTCCAATGCAGCTGATATTAAATAAAGAGAGACGCTCTGGTAGATTCCATTGCAGCATCACCACTAATGGGTTTAGATGGGGGAGCTCGCAGGGTGTCCTGACTTTGACAATGTGCAGGTCAGAGCAGTTATGTGTGCAGGTAACTACTGGATGAGTTTACTTCTGTACGGTGTGCTTTACAGAACACTATGAATAGCTTCAGTACAGATCATGATGTTCCCCAGACTCTCAGAGAGGGGGAATCCACTACTCGTGGTAAACTTTGCAGGTCAGTTGACTTTCATATATTGATTTGTCTCTTTTCCCATTTTTGTTGAAAATATCCTGTGCCATCTTCTTTAACTGTGCAATTTTCCAGCATACTTTTCATTGGTCTCTTTGTATCTATTTAGCATTTAGCGCAGGGATGCAGATCTGAACTTTTATACTCCTTTTACTGTGCTTTTACATGTGCTTGTGTAGCTGGTTTTAAACTCTCTCTGTTCCGTTTATCACTTCTGGCATTAACATAGTGTTTTTTCTGGAAAAACAGAATAATATAATGTATCTAAAAACCACTTCTAAAGGAATACCTCTGGATTTTAGAGGAAGAAGGGAGGAGACATTAAACTCTTTGTATGAAAACAGGTTACACCATAGTAGGGCTGCAGGATTTTGGCTAAAAATAAAATCCCTTTTTTTTTTACTCTCTAAAAATTCGATTTTAGATTTTGATTTTGATATTGTACTCAGTGACAACTTTACCAAACTTCACTTTCATAAAACGTTTTTCTATCATATCTCAAAACAAAACTACTGAAAATGATGTAGTGCATATGCCAAGCCAATGAGTGGCGCTGTAACGCTGCACAGCAAATGCACAAAAGACAGAAGAAGAGTACAGAGCATGCCTTTAAAGGTTGCTCTGGTCGGACATGCGCAGGCGCCATAAAAGAGTTACGCTGGGTGTGACATAATCGTTTCAAGAGAGTTGCAGGTAGACATCCAGACGGAGATGAAATGGTAGTCATTTATGGATTTAGGCACTCTCTGACCTGTTTTCAAAAGGTACCATTTACAGTCACTGCCATTTCTGTGTGGATGCAATGCCAATACAAAAAAAAAGGTTTTGCGTTTAATCCTGAATTTGCTTCAGGGCGGGGACATATAGACAGGTCTTCGTCTGGAACTGCAAAGTCATACTAATTCGACATAACTGACTTGCTCCTGCCCTATTTAGCCACAAAATTATCGCCTTCTTTTGCAAATGCCATGTTTGTTTACACTAATGTGTGTGGAAACTGGGGAGCACTCTTGCAGGAAGGGGGAGCCTATGGTGGCCTGGAGGCGTGAGACATGATAAAGAGGAAAATCGATTTTACGGTTTTAAATTTTTTAACATCGTCATAATCAAATAATCCGGTTACGATTAAAAATCAATTAATCATGCAGCCCGTCACCAAAAGGATCAACACTGTTTAAGCAAGCTAAATATAACAACATGAAATAGTCTAACTACCTTACAACAAAACAACAACATAAAAATGTATTTGGTGCGAATCTTAAATAATTTCCCAAACATAGCTTCTTATCAGTTAACAGCAGACTGGCTTGGATACACAGGTTTAACTCCTCAAATCTGCAGGGGCCTAGCAGAGGGCGCTACAGTGCTCGATTCCAAAGTAAATTAAGGATTTGGCAAAATTGATCGATATTTCATCTAAATCTATATTAAAAAAAAAAACATGCAAATACAAAACTTGCATGTTTCCTGTGTAATTTGCTCCAACTGTTACTCTTGTTGAAATTTCTGTTGTTATCCTCAAAAAGAGGCCAGTACAATATGGTTGGCGCATCCTGTCCTGAATTTCAACAAAGTGACACCTGTGGAGCACCAGTTTAATGTGCCATGCTTATCAGAGCCATGGAGGCTGCACTACATTAGCTTGACTACTTCAGAAAGACCCAGCGGTGATTTTTTGAAACCACAAAAGAAATGAGTCAAGTCGGCAGTTTGGGAGCACTTCAGGTCTCCCCCAAGAATAACCAAAGGAATTATTCAGGAGGACGGATCACCTGTCTGTGAATTCTGCTACAGAAAAGCTGCAGCTAAAGGGTGAAATACATCAAACTTGATGTAGCATCACCACCAAGTTCAGGCAACACACAATATCAGACTGTTATTACATCAGTGGCAAGTTACTCAATGAAACACTGAGTGCGTCTCAGAAACTGTGAGAAGGCCTTGAGCATAAAAGAAAAGGATTTTCCAACCTGGAAAACTCTAAAAGGAAACTGGACACTGTGGCACGTATATGCCTTACCCTGATTTTTGACAGCTGATGACTAACTGCCTGCAGTCTCAGCCAAGTGACATACCAGCAAAACAAATGTGTCTTACCTCTAAAGCAATGAAAACACCAAGTTTTTCCTCAAGTGATAAAAGAATTAAATATAAATGAAAGAAAGTGAATGCTATCTCCAACAATGAAAACACCATCACTGATACAACTGTGTACTATTTGTAGTATATGATGGGAAAGTTTTTATCAAAGTTTTATCAACTTTAACTCAACTGTTAGAAACACTGTGTGTGAGATGTTCTCAATTTCTCTCCACCAAACTTCAGAAAAATCAATAGGATGGGATTTTTGTGAGCTACTTGTAAGAGTGTTTTTTTCTTTTTTAATAAAATTGTCCAAAATTACGAATTGATGACAGGAAATGATAGTTAAATTTATACCAACAAAATCTCTAGTTTCTGTTTCCCTAATGTAAGTCTTATTATGTGAATTATCATGGAAATCTTGCACACAAATGAATGCAAACATAATTTCCAGTCCTGTTGAGTCTCTGATGTATACAGTTTTGCAGGGAGCAAGCCTAACTGCTTGATGCTCATTAGATCCAGACATGTCAGTGTACTGGACCCATTCTGTCCTCATGTGATCTATGTATTCATGGAGACCAATAATGCATGAGCAGCAAATTTTCATATAAGTGAGTCTTGCTCCTGGAGTAGGCAGATACAGCTTTTACTAGGTCACTAAGCAACAGAGGTGCTCTCTGTAGCGCAATCATAGAATGATGGAAAAAGGTGTTTTTGTATCCTGAAGGATGTGCTGTGTGATGGTTTAATCTTGACTGTGATGGTGTGATCTTTACAGATGAGCCCCCAGTAAAACTCCTAGCCATTCTAGTAAATACTGGGACCTAAGCTTCATTAAGAACTGTGTGAAAATGTACTGAGGAAGGACATGAACAGAAGTGGACAGAGAGACGTGTTTTATTTCCTATCCCACCTTTTTTCCTCCCAAAACTACGTCTGATACCTAACATGTTGGGTGTTGTTCAGTCGGTTTATCCCACTTTGTTGTTGTTTTTTAGAGTCACATGATAAATTACCTAAAACCTGTTGATTTATTTGTGAGTCTAATTGGTGTACTGTATAGTAGGTATAGAGTTAGTGTATTAACAGCATCAGAAAGATCTGTATCAGAGCTACTCTAATTGTTGGCATTCATGCGGGGTTACAGGTAAAAGACGGACTCATTACTTTTGAGTTCCTGCTCAATGGATATCTCCACCCATCGGCAACTTTCATCGATCACCATCTGACGGCGTTATGTGATATGTCTCTGAGAGTGGATCCTAACTTTTTAGTGATTTAGGTGTAGCCGGCGGTTAGTATTCAACGACTTCAAGCCAAGGTTTAATTTCCCACGTGGCATCTACATTGCAGACATAAACGCTGTCATTTTTGGTTCATTACATCCCCCGGGGTGGCGGTCGTTCATCTGTTTCAAGTAGGTGTCAGTGTAACAGTAGACAGTGTTACACAGGGGCTTACTCCAGCTGTATGAGCCCAAAAAAGAAACCTCTTTTCTTAGCATTAACCCACATGTACAGGGCTTGGGTCACATCATTCATTTGGAAATTCTAAAAAAGTAAAAATGCTAACTTTGTCAAATCAAACTTGAAATGAAGTTTGGACAGCTAATGTCGACCAAAGTGATGTACAAGGAAGTAGCATTGAGAAGACATGAGGAAAATATGGGGGAGCAAATAGGAAAGGACAATGAATAGTTGGAGGCATGAAAAAAGGAAAACTTATGAAAAGCCTGAGAGGAAATATCTAAACTTAAAAATGAAGGGAGAGGACTTCATAGATAAAGCTATTCCAGAGCTGTTGGGTGGCTACCATAGACTGTATATAGAATAGACACCGTCTGCCTCCTCGCGGGGTGAAGCCACTCCGAGAACAGCACCCTCTGTTGATAGGCTGCAGTACAGGTCATAAATCCCACCTCCGCCAGCAAAGCTTATGGGGCTGTGGACCAACTTTAGAAATTTATTACACAGAACATAAATTTTTCTCCCCCCTGCTTGTGATGTTGACATGTAACTACATGTAAGACAGGTTTGTGCTCAAGTCCTCTTTTTTCTGTGAAGCTCCGTTTTTAAAAGTTAGGGGGTTAAAAGTAAGGGGGTTCATGTTTGCTATGATTGACATCTGATACAGCCTATGGGCGTTCAGGGATTGAGTAGCTCTCCCAGGGGGATACGCTATTTGAGCCGAGCGTCATCACAGTGACTCTCGGCGACTGTGCAGCCGAATGCGCACAAGGCTACTGCACAGCGCTGGTTTCAGGAAATTAAGAAAAATCCCGGAAATACCGAGAGCTATTTGGCTTCAAATCCGTATACAGGTGGTAGGCGGAACCAGGTTGTCCATAGTATATACAGTCTATGGTGGCTACAGAAACAGGCATGGTTACCGCTATAGTTTGGCCTTGACCAAGGTACAGCCAGGAGAATTCAGAAAAAAAAATTAGTTTGTTGAAGAGGAGGTTGGATCTATAATTTCCAGGTGAATTTAACGTGGCTTTGACTGGAGGGTGACCTTGCACCCTGACTCCTCACTACTGCAAATATTTGAATGTTTCAGGGACACGTGCACTCAGATTTAGCCTGACTTGGCTGCCTGCACAACTACACAATGGAGATTAAAGAATTAAGGTCAGATTACTACCAGTGAAAGTCAGGGTGTCATTTTGATGGTATGCATTCTGCCTGTTTTTGCTCTCCACACAAACCATAACTCCTGTAAACACCAAAGCTTGCTAAAATGTGATTGTTCAATTGTTCAGAACAACCTTTATGAGCAAAGACGGAAAATAAAAACGTGCCTTTTGATTGGTCAGTTCGGCTTCAAAGCTCTACCAGATGTATGACAGATGGCACATGAAGTTATTTGCACTCATTGTCCATTTGAGTTGAGTTCCCACAGGAGTATGCAGAGTCTCAGATACCACTTGCTGTCCTTGCACACAGCTGATGTAGAGAGCCCTACTCCCCCTAACCTAAAGAATGTCCACGCTGTATAGTGTGCAATGGATATGCTCAGACAACTCTACAGCAACAAACTTTCAAGTGCGAGAGCTAAATGGGTGGTTACAGCCTGCAGGTCAATTAACACTGTGGAGGTTGAGGGTCTGCTTGACTTACTTGCCATAGCATCCAACAATTGCCTTCAAGAGCCACCACTGTGACCATGTACAGCTGGTATAAAGAGAGAAAGCCTCAGAAGAGAAGGTGTGTGGAGAGAGAAACATGATTGTTATGGAAAATTTTCTGGGCAGCATTTGTCATCTTCTTCGATTGCTACGATAGTAACAGACAAACATTTTCATGAAGCAAGCACATTTGTCCACTGTTATCCTGATATGAAGCACTTAAAATTGTGTCTTTAAGGGTACAAAAAAACAGGTTATAGATGTGTGAGTAGTTTGATAACAATCCAGAGATAACTCTGGACAAATTGCAAGTAAATATCCAAAAGAAGTTGACAGTCCTTATTATTAGATGTGAAATTATTGTGCAGGCAGAAGGGATTACTGGTAATCTAAGAGGTGAAAACTCATTTTTATATTCCTTGAGCACAATTTGGCAAAACAACCTGCGCAAATGTGAATCTGACTGAGATTCCTGACTCCCCCTGATACTCTGTGGTACATTAAATTAGCACCTATGGCAAAAAAAAAGGATTCAATTCATGGCTTCAGCTGTTAAAAATGTGAGTGAGAAGTGGGTCTTTTTTGTGCTAGGGTCGCTAAGACTTCTTTAATACTGATCAGATGATATTGCACAATTAATAGAGTCACAAAGAGCACTTATGTGAAATCATTTGACTGTCAGTCAGGAAATACTGGCTGGAAATACTTTTGAAAAATGTCAAATAAAAAAAAAATACTTCTGTGTCTAGCAGCCGATTAGTAAAAATGGAAAACAGACATCAACTTTGTTGGTGCTGGCTGACTTGGAAACAGCTCCAAATAAATGTCAAATTAGTAAAAACTGGCACTCTTATGAGCCATCACTCTCTTAGAGAGTCGGGCCACTGTCATTTTTGGTACTTTTATTTTATCCCCACACAATTAATTGTCACACATTCCCTCATTTTGATGAATAAAAACAATAAATGAAGATGTCACTTAAAGGAAGTGAGATTATTTACCTTGTAGAGGAACATTGAAGAAAACCAAGATAAAACACTTGTATATATCCATAGTGATCTTAGTTATGTCCAACTCTTTGACTCCTTTGACTTTTGCTGGATTTTAGCCCAAGTGGTCGCTCAGCTGCCCTATTAAAGCCAGTCCTCAGGAGGTTAAATATTCAGACAGAGAGGTCATAAAGGTCCATGTCAGCCCAGGGCCTCATCTCTCTCCTGGTCTCATCTGTCCATCTCTTCAGCTGCCGGTCTGAGTGTTGGTGAGAGGGAGCACAGACCTGTGGTTTCCCCGGTCCAGCACTTGAAAGTCCCTCCTCGCTCCACTGGAATCCTTCATCTAAGTGTGGCTTATCCCTCTCTTCTTCTTCTCCTCCCTCCCTTTCTACATTACTCCCTCCCTCACCTCCAATCTCTCCGCCTCCTCATCGCATCTCCCTCTCTCTCTTTCTCTCTCTCCCTCTCTCTCTCTCATACACGCACCTCATTTCTCTCTTTGCATTTCCCTCCCACTTATTTTCTTTGCTCCATGCATGTTCCAGTTTTTGGCTTTTTTCCTGCAAAAAGAGCAACTTTTTATGTGCATATGATAGAATATCTTCTGTTTCCTCTACTAGTGCATGTGCAGTCTGTGTGTGTGTGTGTTTGTAAAATCAGTTATCTGTATGTGAGAGCTGTTACAGTGTGTGTAGATGCATGTGTGTGCAGATGCTTGTCAAAGTCCAGTCTGGTCAAAGTGCCAGTGAGTCATGGCTCCTCTGGATAATCTTCAATCTCCTTGCTGCCCGCTCTCCCAGGAGCCTATCATCGAAAACCCCATCTCCCTTTATCTTACCACCCTCCTCTCTCTTTTAAACACCCCTGACCCTCACCTGCTGTCAGTTTTTCTCCAGCGTAATGCTTCACACACACAAACAGACTTGTCCTTCTCTGCAGCCTCCCTGTGCTTCCCTGCCACTCTACTTTTACTGCTTTTACACTTCGTCACCAAACCTCGCTGCCAAGGCTGGCCATCTATTCAGACAGCCACACTTGCTTGAGGTGCACTTACTGTTGTCCTACATCCTTTTATTGTCCCTGAGCAATGCCAGCATCCTGTGTCTTGATGACATAAAGACAGAGAGATTCACAGGAGACACTTAAAGAGCTTTGACTTAAGAGTCATGTTTACTTGAGATTGGCTGTGCAGATCCCTGCTTTTGACTTTCCGACATTTCTTTCTGACTCTGTTACATGATATGCTGCAACAAAGAAGTCCGGGCGGAGATATATTTTGCTGCTGTAGATGTCTCTGTCAGATACGCTTCTTTTCAATACACTATGAGCCCACAGAGAAAAGCCTCCGCAGTGTACACATTGATTTTTTCTAATCAAAGACGAGCTCTCTTGATCCAGTGATGACTAACGGTGACTTGACAGATGAAGAGTTTTCTCTCACCGGTGTGCCGCCACAGCACGGATGTACATTTGTACCATCAGAGATTTAATAGCTGATTATGGACTTGGATTCTTGACAGGAGTCCAGTAGGAATCTCTAAGTGGGACAATGCAGCAACAGGGGGCCACTGGGAGTGGAAATTTCCCTCTCAGTAAAGGCCAGGGTGCACAAACAGGCCAATTAGAGCCTGGTGGCTGACACATGCATCAGTTTATCTCATGCCCACATATAGACACACATAAACTCCCTAAGCTCATGAGAGGACCATCTGTGCATACTTGGAGCTGTAAGGGAGGAAAAAGAGTTATAGTATTCACCTTTCGCTGACGCCTGTTTAATAATTCAGCCGGTCGGGATACCAGAAAAGATTGGGTGACCCCCTTAAACAAAAGGTCATGACTCAAATACACCCACTGACCCTTGCAGTCCATCAGCTGAGGTGGGCGGCTGTTATTGACATGCTGCATACTACAACTTGTTCACAAAGATTAACATTGTAATGCAGTTGAGCCGTACAGTCTGTCGCCCAGAAAGCAGAAGCAGCAAACTGCCTTGACGTTTGTTAACCAAGTTAGACCGAATTCAATTTAAAAGAAAACCTCATGACTTGCTGAAAAGTTTTATATTTTGACTGTATTTACTGACAACAGTTATGTCTATAATTTGAATTCTTTCCCAGGATGGAAAACCTGCACAATCCTCCAGTTAGTGTCCATTTTGGCATCAGAGCAAGTTTTTAGATGAAAATGCCTTTTAGTTTTAAATGCATTTTAGTCGTTTTTTTCTCATATAGTTTGATTTTATTTTATTTAAGGCAACAAAAAGTCTGTTTAAACATTACTCGTGCACATTGTAAATTTGTGCACCAGAATAATCACTTTTGCATACAGATTAGAGCACCGAAGTTGCAGATCATCATCAATAAAATCATCCCTGATAATGAGCTCAAGATGTCACCTAATCAGAAATGTGTACATCTGAACATCCAACACACGAAACGACAATTGTTTTGGAATACCTTGTCAAGAAGTGGCAGAAAAACTGCATGAAAGAGACCCAATTCAAAACAGCCATGCAGACTAATAGTTGAAAGTTTATCAGTCAAAGGATTTATATGAAGAAACTGTATTAATTCAAAACAGCAAATGAATAACTGGAAGAAACAACTAGAGATGCCCTGATCCAATATTGAGATCAGATATCAGTTGAATATCAGCAAAAAAAAAACAATATCGGATGATATCAGCCGATATCGAAAATCTACGATATCAGCACTTCGATACTAGCAGTCTATTCTAGACTCCACTCCAGCACCTCTATCTAGCAGCACCCAAATCTAGCATACAGAGTCCACATAATCACAACAACAGTGTGTACTAAGGTACTGACAAAGTAGCAAGGAGTTGGAGTGATGTTGGCCATGTGGCAGTAAAAAAAAGACGTTGCAGCCGAGTGCAAAACTTGTCATGCAGAAGTTTGTGCCAATATCGGCTCAATATCGGTATCTGCCAATACTCAAGACTACAATATTGGTATTGTATCAGAGGTAAAAAAGTTGTATTGTGACACCCCCAGAAACTATTTTTGAGATGAATCAAAACAAAAATAACAAAAATTCCCAACCAAAAGGTAAAGCAACCAAAACAAGAAATTTTACAGTGATGATCCGATTTGAGGTGGACACAGTTTGCAGTAGATAAATATTTGACTTTAGTTGATTTGAGCCAGCATTTGCCATTTTATTCTGTCATGTATTTCATCTTATTATGTATGAGAGTTAGACCAACTAATCAGACAGCAAGTTAATCAGGCTGATTATTGGTATTTTGAAATGATGTGCACCACATCAGCACCTTCACTCAAAACCAAAGTCAGCACTGGCTTTTCGAAAGGTTTAATCATCCTACATGACAGCAGCGCAAGATTTCGACAGCAACTAGCCAGAGTTTAATATAAATCCTGTTATAGTGTATGGAATCATGCTGTTTAATTTAGCTGCTGACATATATGTCAATAATATTCAGAAATCTATAGAATAACCCAATTTATATTTCTATTTAATAAATGGTTTATAAACAGCAAACAGCAGATTGCATACCCTTCATGGTGTGACGACTTCACTGTGCTGCTTACCCTGTCAGGATTTGAGTCCCCAGAATCTACCCGGGCCTCATTTATCAAACGTGCGTAGAAAAGGTTCTAAATTCTGGCGTGGGAATGAAATTTAGAATGTGCGTAAGTATGAAAAAATCCGTATTTAACAAACATGCGGACACCGGTCGTACGCACACGTAAGTAATCGGTGATGATAAATCCCACCTGTTCTTTACTACTGTACTTGTGCATGGTTAGGGTCATTTGCATTCAGAAACGCCTCCAACTGACCATATATGGCATCAACAATCCCTTTAAAAATGCGTGAAACAAATGTGCATCGCAGATTATTTGTGCATTGATTGAATGAAATCTTTACCTGTTGACGAAACTGAATTTATTGTGTAAAGGTGCTTTTATTGCGATGTGGGTGCAATCTATGGCTCTAATTATGTTCGGGAATCCGGCGATGGCGTGAAAGCCTTGTTTTATTTCCGCTTGTTGGTGATGTGTGTTTGGGAACTGGATGTAAATTGAGGCCAGAGAAATTAATGCATTCAACTCTGCCGGCATGATTCTGCTTTGCGTTGTCTGCGAAATGTTGCATATGTCTCCAATCTCAGGCTGAAATGTTCCGGTGGCCAAAATTCCCAGGGTGGACAGGATCTGGATGTGCGCTGGGATGGCTTTGGTGCATTTTGTCTCTCGCTCCAACACGGGTAGTAAATCATGGCATAAACCCATTAAGATATTTTGGGGAAGCGGTACCTGCTGAGAAGCCACTCTGTGTTCTCACTGAACAGATCAGCACGGTCTTTAAAAATGCACTCCCTGCAGAGCATACGGTTCTCCGAGTCCTCCAATAACGCAAAATAAGCTGTGATTCTTGTATCAGTACTTGTAAGACTTCTTTGAGGTTGTCCTGTCACAGCTGATTTTTATAGCTTGTCACACCAATCACTCAAAATGTCTGCTAAATAACTAATCAGTTGAATTTTATACAGAGACAACGGGGAACATGTGTGAAGTTTGAGATTGCTGAACGCTGTGACTCCTTTATTTGGTTCTATTTGTAGTTTCATTGTTCTACCACTAGATTTTGTGTGTACACATGGTCAGAGTTATGCTTTAATGTACGCATGTTCCTAAGCACAAGTACAAGTTGATAAATTCCATACTATGCTTGGGAATGTTCGTACGCACTCACTAAGCACACATCTGTGCGTAAGCACGGTTGATAAATGAGGCCCCTGCTCATTGTCAATCATTCCTTACTTATTCAAGTTTTTATTTTTGCGAGCAGGTCTTTAGGAACAATTTTCTCTGTCTTTAAATCAGCCACACTAATAATCCAGTCTTTGCGCATATACAAGATGCAGGATCCCCCCAGCTGTGAGCCCCCAATTACTGTCCCTGAGAAAAACACTGGCTGTACTATGGAAACTTTAGATTCTATCTCAACACTTTGGTTCAAATGCTAATGTGGGTTGGGACCTGATTTGGGGGAAAAAAGAAAAAAAAACATGGCACACTATAACACGCTTAAATCGACATATCTATCCAAAAACAGCTTCTGTTAATACCAGTATATTGCAACAGCTCTACTGCTTACAAACTTTACATGGACTGCTCACCTAAACAGACATCCAGGTATATTTGGCAAACCATTTTAGTATATAATGCATCATATTAAAGCCATGCCAAGAAAAAAATAACACAAATGACAGAGTTGGTATAAAGCCAGCCTACTGAAGATGGGATAATGAATCTATAAAGCATTCATTTAAACATTTTCAATCCAAAATATCAA